CCCGACCACTTTATGTCGGCGTCGTCGTCGCCCTATTTCGGCGTTGTGTCGACATGTGTCGCTGTCCCCAGCAGCCCAGCGCACCGCCCTCTCCGCCCCGACCACTTTATTTCGGCGTCGTCGTCGCCCCCCCCCCATCCCCCTCTCCCCAGCAGCCCAGCGCGCCGCCCCCTTCGCCCCGACCACTTTATTCTCTTGCACAGCTGTGCTCTAGAGCTCGGACCTCTTTATTTTCGTTCGTTCGTCGTCGTCCCCGGCCCCTGGTCCGGTCCCGACCCTGGACCCAACCTCCCCACCCCGTCCTGGCCTCAGCCCCCCTCGCCCCGCTGGCCCTGGCCCTGGACCCAGCCTCCCCCCCACCCGGCCCTGGCCCCAGTCCCCCTCGCCCTGGACCCTTTATTTTTGCTCGTCGTCGTCCCTGGTCCGGTCCTGGCCCTGGACCCAACCTCCCCCCTGGTCCTGGCCCCAGCTCCCCTCGCCCCGCTGGCCCAGGGCCTGGACCCAGCCTCCCCCCCGCCGGCCCTGTCCCCAGTCCCCCTCGCCCTGGACCCTTTATTTTCGTTTGTCGTTGTCCCTCTGGTCCCGGCCCTGGACCCAACCTCCCCACCTGGCCCTGGCCCCAGCCCCCGTCGCCCCGCTGACCCTGGCCCTGGACCCAGCCTCCCCCCCGGCCCTGGCCCCAGCCCACCTCGCCCTGGCAACCCTTTATTTTCGCTCGTCGTCGTCCCTGGCAGCTGGTCCGGTCCTGGCCCTGGACCCAACTCCCCCCCTTGCTGGACCCTTTGTTTTCGTTCGTCGTCCCTGGTCCGACTCTGGCCCTGGACCCAACCTCCCCACCTGGTCCTGGCCCCGTGGAGCCCCCCTCGCCCCGCTGGGTCCCTGGTCCGGTCCTGACCCTGGACCCAACCTCCCCCCCTGGTCCTGGCCCCCGCTCCCCTTGCCCCGCTGGCCCAGGGCCTGGACCCAGCCTCCCCCCCGCCGGCCCTGTCCCCAGTTCCCCTCGCCCTGGACCCTTTATTTTCGTTTGTCGTCGTCCCTCTGGTTCTGGCCCTGGACCCTGCCTCCTCCCCTGGCCCTGGCCCCCCGCCCCCCTTGCCCTGCTGGCCCTGGCCCTGGACCCAGCCTCCCCCCCCCTGGCCCTGGCCCCATTCCCCCTCGCTTTGTACCCTTTGTTATCTTGCGCAGCTGTGTTCTAGAGCTCGGACCTTTTTATTTTCGCTCGTCGTCGTCGTTCGTTCGTCGTTCGTCCTCCCCCCGGCGGCCACAAAAATATACTCCTGGAGGAAGGAGGCGAAAGCCTCCTGTCTCTCGCGGCTCCTTAGTGCAAGAGCCAGGGCACGCGTGCCACTTGTTAGGGTCCCCCCCTCAGGAGGCCAAAATGGGGCCAAAACCTAAGTAAAACCACTGATTTTGACTTCCTGGCCGAGGCCGTTTTGGACGCTCCGACGACTCGCGAAACACCCTGCCCAGGTCCATGGGGAGGGGGTACGGGGAGGGGTCAAGAGTCTCCCTCCCCGCCCGCAAGCCGTCTCGCTCACTCCCACCCGCCCTCCGAACACATACGTAGCACCCGAGCCTGGCCCGAGCCGCAGCATATGCAGCAGTCGTCTTTGGATGGCCAGCTACTGGGGGCGAATCCGCCGCAGCCGTCGCCGCCTCCGCCGCCGCCGCCGCCCGCCGCCGCCGCCGCCGGCGCCGCGCCGCCGCCGCCGCCGCCGCCCGCCGCCGTTGTCCGCCGCTGCCGCCGCCACCGCGCTGCCGCCGCCGCCGCCGCCGCAGCCGCGCCCCCTGCAAATCGCCGCCGCCGCCGCAGCCGCTGCCGCTGCCGCGCAGCCGCTGCCGCCATGCCGCCGCCGCCGCCCTGCCGCCGCCGCCGCCGCCGCCGCCCCCGCCGCCGCCGCCGCCCCCGCCGCCGCCACCGCCGCAGCCGCCGCAGCCGCTGCCCCCGCCGCAGCCGCCGCAGCCGCCGCCGCCGCCAAGTGTATTCCGTATTGTTTTGTTGACAGGGATGGTTGGGGGAGGCAGCATCGGGTTCGCTGCGCGTGCTCCGAATTTGGAGGCAGAGTGTGCTTTGTAGTGTTTTTTAAAAGGGATGGTGGGGGCAGTGGCTTGGGTGCCGCATGGACCTGGGTTGGCTCCCAGTCGCCTGGGGAAGGGGGTGTATACTAATAGGGAACAGTGGTAAACCCTTCCCCGAAGGGAAAGAAGGAGGGGTGGAAGAGGAAACTCCCTAAACCACTGACGCCCAGAGGGCTGGTGGGATTTCTGGGGGTCCATCTGACGGATATGTCCGACTCGATTTCGCAGCCAGACCTGCCCCCCCCCGCTCCGATTCCGCGGTCTGCGGGGGCTTGTGTTTTGGCGGCGTTCGGAGGTTTGCTGGCGGGGGCGACGGTGGCGGCAGTGACGACGGTGGCCGCGGGGGCGACGACGGCGCGGACGACGAATTATGGATGGGGGGGGATCGGGGTGGACTCAAAAAGGCGGGCGACGGGGAGGACCAGGGCCAGGGGGGTCAAACGGTGGGGGAGTGGGAGGTGGGGTGCGAGATGGCCGCCAAGGCCAGCGTCGGGGGGGGATGGAGGGGGACGATCGGGGAAGCCGAAGGGGGGTGGGTGGGAAGGGGGACAGCGAAATGGTTGCTTGCGCCGACATCAGGTGCGCGTGGACGAGAGTTCGGGGGGATGCTTCGGGGTGGCGACGGTGGGCGGGTCGGGGTGGGGGGGACGACGGCGACGTTTTGGGGGGTGTCGGCGGTTGCGGGGTGACGGCGGCGGGGGGGTATGTCGGGGTGGTGGCGGACGACGGCGGGAACGGCTTTGGCGTGGCAGGTGGTGGAGTTCGTGAGGTGAGGGGCAGAGGCAGGGGCCACGGAAAAGACATTGGGAAGCAGAACGTAGGGAGAGTAACGACAAGTGAGGGCGAACGGTAATAGGCGGTAATGGGCGGTAATGGCCGTTATTCGAAGGTAGTGTGGTGCCATGATGACGTCGTAGGGCTCCATGGTTTTGACACGTGTGTGTATATACATGTATATATATATATATACGTATGTATACATTGTCACCCATATGTACACGGGCGCACAACATAGTATGCGCAACCAATATCGCCAGGACAGCAAATGATTCTGACTCGTCTTATGTGTGCTTTCGATAAACCCGTGGAGCGTGGGGACGACGGGGTGATGATGACGATGAGAATGACGATTACGATGTCAATGACCCATCGTCATCGTCATCGCTTGCTTCCCAGGGTTACATGTCTCCATCTTCTCCTAACGCGGGTAGCACCAAAGCGACCGACGAGCCTCCCCGTTGGGGCGGCTTCCCGCCCATGGCCGCGCACATGGAGGCTTTTGAGAACGGCTACGGCTTATTCCCGGCGCTGGAAGGCAGTGGCGAGGTCGGGGCTCAAGAGACGGGGGTCAATGCAAGCGGGGGTCAGTCAGAGAGTCGGATCTTGCAGGATCCTGCAGAGTCAGGGGGCAGTGACCCGGGTGTGGGTGCAGGTTCCTGCAGCATCCTGCAGGATCTTGCAGGATACTGCAAGGCATGGCTGACCTGGGTCTGGATTGGCCCTGGTCAGTAGATCCCCGACGAGGCTTGGTTGCAGGAACCTGATCCGTTAGACTTCGAGGACCCAGGCGAGCCGCCGCACCACTCCTTCGAGAGCGGACACCGCTGGCGAGACGGCGACGCTTACGCCGTCGGCTTCCAGGACGCCAGGGACTGCTGGCGAGACACAGGGCTCCAAGCCGACCAGCTGGCAGTGAGCAGGAACAAGTCGAATGGGGGTATCGATGTAGATCTGCAGCAGCACAAGTGGATCAATCGGCAGGTTACCCAGAGTTCTGGCAACATGCAGTGGCTCCTGCAGACAATAAGCTACCACCTTATCGACATGAATCCGATCAATTTGGCCACCGCCTTGCACCGCGTAACCAAGCTGGTAGTGTCGGAAAAGTCAGGATACACCGTGGAGAGGTTGTTGAAGGAGCCTTGTTTCAAGCAGCTCTTCAGCACTGTCGCGCAGAAGATTGAGACCTGTGCTGCAGTGGCGCCAGAAGGACAGCCACGGACGCCGCTCTTCGATGTACACTGCATGAGCATCGTTTGTTGGTCGTGCGCTACGCTGAGACTCGCCGAGCAGCAGTTGCTATGCACCATCGCGGGCATTGCACGGCCCAGGCTGTCGGAGTTCAAGTCGTTCGAGCTGTCCAACCTGATTTGGGCATATGCTAAGCTGTCCTTTGGCTTGTGCGTTGGGTCCCAACTGTTCACTGCCGTTTCGAAGCACGTGATGCAGCGCAAGACGGACGACTTTAGCCTGCAGTCGCTCTCCATGGTGGTTTGGTCCTTCGCGACAGCCAAGCAGAAGCAAATGTCCATGTTTCAGAGCCTGGCGGTGGAGATCCACTCGAAGGCGGCCGACGCGAAACCGCAGGAGATCGCCAACATCCTCTGGGCCTTCGCGAAGAGCCAGGCTGCGGAGGTTCCCCTGTTCAACCGTCTTGCGGACGCGGCACTGGCCGGCAACCTTCTCGGCACATTCAAGCCACAGGAGCTCTCGAACACAATTTGGGCATTCGCGACGGTGGCTCTGCACCATGCCCCGCTGTTCGCCAGCCTGGTGGAGGCCGTGATGAGCGGGCGGGGGGTCCTCTCCCCGCAGAACACGGCCAACATCCTGTGGGCCTACTCGAAGCTCGAGGTCGACGACGAGCAGACCTGGCAGATGGTGTCGGATCTGATCGACCTGGCAATGCAGAGGCTGGCCCAGCACAAGCCGCAGGAGATCTCGGCCATCATCTGGGCGGCCTCCTGGTACTGCCCAGACAGGCGCCGCTTCTTCGAGGCGGCGGCCGCGATCTGCGCCCACCGGCTCCACGCCTTCCCTCCCTCGGCGCTCGCCTACATGCTCGAGGCCTACGCGAGCATCGAGCAGGGCGCCCCAGCCTCTGCCTTCTCCAACGCCCTCGTGCGCCAGAGCCTCGGCAGGCTGCACCAGTTCGACCTCTCCGCGCTCACGCACCTCCTCGCCGGGCTGGCGCAGCTCGCCCAGAGCCCGCAGGGGAGCTCCCAGGCATCGAATATATAAAGCCATGGGATGCGCACAAGTTTCCGGAGGTCCGCGCGCACCTCGGGAAGCTTGTGCTCATGATGCTGTTTCGTCCTCTGAGGCAGAGCGCTGGGCCGAGCACGTACCGTTCTCCGAGGCGCTCTGGACGGTTTGCGCCTGCATCGCGGGCCGGACGGAGGACATGCCAGTGAACGAGCTGGCGCTCCTGCGGCTGTCGCTGGAGCGCTGTGCGAGCCCAGGCCCGGCCGTGGAGGAGCTGCTGCGTGCCGTGGCGGCTGCGGAGCTGCGGCGCTCGCGGTTGCGGAGCGACCCAGCGTGCAACGCGAAGTGCTGGCCCGCGCAGCGCGCGACCTTCAGGCGGGGTGCTGCCAGTCATAATCGGGCGAGTGGGGTCTTTGGAAATGGAGCCGCGAAGCGCGCGCGCAGCAGTTCATGCAATAGTTGGAAACGATCACATGCATCGTACGGTGCCTCGTGCAATTTGTCGGGGTGCAATAGCTTGCCCGCGCGAACGCAATACTCTATCTCTGTGATGCAATATTTTGTGTTCTCGCTTTTTGTTGTGAGCAATGTTTGCAATAGTTGGCCTGCCGCCATGCAATGGCTGCGTCTGGTCATGCAGCATGACGCAATAGTTGAGCCCGCGGGCGCAATAGTTCGCAATAGTTGCGCGCAGTAGTTGCGCGCAGTAGTTGCGCGCAGTAGCGTCACGCACCGAACTATTGCAGCTGCGGTTTGCGGCCCCATTCCCAGATGCCCCACTTCCTTGGAACCAAGCCAGCAGTGCCCTGGGCCCAAGGTGTCCCCAGGGTTGCCAGGGAGGCCCCCCGCGGCCCCCAGACCCCCCCCCCAGACCCAGCCATGCGACGTCCCGCCTGATTTCAGTACGCCGCCCCTGGAAGATCCGACCCTTGCCCCCAGGGCTTCTCATCCCGAGTCGTTCTTCTGTTCTTGGTGATGGTCCTGGGGCCCGGTAAGGAAGGGCCCCCCCCCCAGAGGCTTAGCACCACGAAAAAAAACCCGTCCCAAAGGCGCACCGACACGAGCATGGCTGGGGAACGCCCCTCACGAGCCGCAGAGGGCCCCCGGGGGCTCCAAGATGCAGCGGAGAGCGTGGGGCACCTCGGGCACCTGCGGGCAGGGACACCTTGAGCAACCCCGGGTCAGGGCCACCGCGCACAGCGGCGACACGCTGGGCGAGATCCCTGCCTTGCGTCCGGCGGCCCCATGGGGCCCGTCGCTGCCGTGGCCAGAGCCGCAGGGCGCCCAGGCAGGGCCCACCTTCGATCCGACATCGATCCGATTCGGTATCGATCCCGGCCGCGGCCCGGTCCGATTCGATTCCGATGCTCTCGCTTGCCCTCGTTCCCAGATCCTGGCGCTGTCTTTCACAAGGGGCGTTTTCGCCCTGTTTGAGGTCCTGTGACCCCTCACATCTCGATCCGGCTCGAAGACTGGCGCAGAAAGATGTTGTCCTGCGTTTTGTCCCTCTCCTTCTTATATTTTCTTGTTCGTTGCAAAACTCACACACGCATGCATGCATGCATACATACATACATACATACATACATACATACAGACAGACAGACAGACAGACAGACAGACAGACAGACAGACAGACAGACAGACAGACAGACAGACAGACAGATAGACATACATACATACATACACATACATACACATACATACATACATACATACATGCATACATACATACATACATACATACATACATACATACATACATACATACATACATACATACATACACATATATGTATACATGTATATATATAATACACAATAAGCAGCAACTAACGAGGTTGCAAATTTTACAACGTCAGACGCCGTACCCCCACTCCTCGTTGCGAAATTCTCTTGGCGAAGGGCTCAACCATATGCAGTCATGTGTCATGGATAGCGCAGTTCTGAGGGTCTTCTTTGGTGGAGCTCCACATGGGACCACGAAACATTAGAGAAAGTGTGTGTTTACCCTTCGTTGTCGGCGCATATTACTTTGGGCGGTAACCCCGCATGGGTTTCGGGGGCCCTCGGATCCATTCTGGGCATCCCCTGCTCCTTCAGTTGCCTCCCCTCCTCCGTCCTCCCGAGGATCGGGGATGAGGAGTCGTTCGCCGCAGCATGTGTCGGCTCGCGGGGCGGATTGTGCGGAAGGCGCGCACGTTTGCACGCGTGCTTCCTTCCTCGTCTCCGTCTAGCCGTATTGCTAGCTGTACTAACTACTTACATAGAATCCTACGCGAATCCGGCCGAGCCGAGGCCTATTCATTAAAGGCCCAAAGGCCCAAAGGCCAACATATCCCAAGCCCAGGTTAACAGCCGAAACAACGCGAAGCGCTGCACTTCAGATGGCTAGCTCCGGCGAGCGAGAAGCTTCGCTGGATGTTCTCATATCTGACGACTTCTTCGGCTCGGAGATTTCAGGACGGGCTGCAAGACAGTAGCAATCGGGTTACGGACGAATCGTACCTGTAGACCGTTCTTCAGGTAAGGGTCAGTAGAACCCACCTCTAGTCCGTGATAGGGCCGTTGGGTTGGGGAGACCTGGCGGTGGTGTCTCGAGGGCACCTGACGCTGGCACGGCAAGGTTCCGTATGGGATCCGACGAAAGAAGCTTTGCCCCGAATCCCGCTGTCTCTAAGCACGGGTGCAAAACCCCAGTAGCAAGCGCGTCGGAGAGCACTAGAGCACCTTTCCCCGTCGATCAGGTACAACAAGTACCACCCCGAATGGTCGAGCAACACTTGCCCAGACCACAAGCAGGACTGCGAGGCTGGTCCAAGGCAGCCGTCGTAGAAACATCAAGATCGATCTCAATTGCCGACGTGCTCCTGGCTCTGAGCCAACTGATGGCTGCAATGCAGCAGCAGGCCCTGTTTGAGCAACAACAAGATGCTCACGTGATTAGGTTACGAACTACTTGTGCGGAGTTTGCGAGCGCTTCTCGGGCGCGAGATGCCCAGAATGTAGACCCCCAAACTCAGGATACTCTTGGCAACCTGGTCGCGGCGACTGTCCAGGCACGCCATTCCGACCACCGAGCAACTGAAGAAGGGGCCACCCACATCCTGGAGCGAACCAGTGCGATGGAGCACGATGTCCAACGGCATGAGACACTCGAAACACGAGTGGTCACACTGGAGCAGCAGAACACAGAGTTGTCTCACCAGCTCGGGCATGCTGCAATTGTTTAGGCATCGACGTGGCGCAACATGTCAGAAATCGCACCGAAGGCCCAGGATACAATTGCAACGACCTTTTTCTTCCGCGAGATAATAGACAGCTTGGATGGACAGTGCTCCATCAACGGCGACGTAATTAATGTACAAGAAGGTCTCCTGATGGATGCGCAGGGCAAAGTACACGCGCTCCCAGACAAAGCTGACGGGTACAAATGAATAAGCGCTAATCTCAGCGACCAAGTAAGAAACAACAACAGTGACCTCCACGTAGACACTGTGGACGGGGTTCGCCATGAAACAGCTGCCGGAGTAGGTCGATTCTGGGTCAAGGTGGACCAGTTAGCTCGGGCGGTGAGCGATCACCATCAGGAAACTGCCGTCCAAACGGTCGCGACACGTGAACCAGGTGGGGCGGGCGCTGATTGGGCAGCGTGAAAGCCCATCGCCACCAGCGGCTCTTGAGCTAGCCGATTGGCGTGTTGTGGGCGATGCGTTCCCACCACTTCTTGAGGCTGTTGCTGAGCAGGCGTTGGAGAACATTGATGCGACTGCGACGGGGGAACCCGCTGCTGCTGCTGCTGCTGCGACGAGGAAACCAGACGCTGGCGCCGCGGGGAAACCCGACGTTCGGAGCAGAGGGATAATCCAAGAGGGTAGAGCCGCCAACGTGCCGCCGTCACCGCGACCACACCCTAAATGGAGGCCGACCCTACAACGGCACGAACCACCAGCTGCCCTTATCGACCACAGCGTGACAGGCCTGTCATGCAAGAGCTGCGGGCGCAGCCCGCAGAAGCCCGGCGTGGCGCGCCGCCCGCTGCCGTCCGAGATTATCGGCAGGGTGCCAGTTCTGATGCATCGGGCGACCGTCAGTCTGCAGCTGCAGAAGTCGTCGGGATACGAGTGAATGAAGGCGAGAAGGATAAAGAAGCAGGGCGTCTTGAATTCCTGTCTCTGCCGTCAGCCCCGTTCTTCAGAGAGTGGCAGCAGGGCGTCTACGAAGCAGTGGGCATGCCCTTGGGCAGGCCCGATCCGACCTTTCGGTGGCTTCGGGAGGTGTGGCCTGATGGTGCAACGCGTGAGAGGCTCGCTGATCGCGGAGATTTCGGCGCGCTCGACGCAAAACTTGCGTCGGCAAAACGCGACATCCTACGACATGCTGGCCTCAGAGGACGGTTGTATACCCGCAGAGAAGATTCTAAAACCCTTGGCCGCCTATTCAAGGGGGGTTCAAACCCGAGACTTGGCGACGAGGAGTCTCGGCGCAGCTTTAAGTCTTGCGCTGGGGGAACTCGACGCTCTAACGGCGCTGGTGGACCTAACCGCGGGAGCTTCCGTGGATCCATCTTCAAGTGCGATCGCGATGATTCCCCGGGGCGATTCGTTCGGTAACCCCCCTTTCCCGCGCCGCCAAGCCGGTCAGTCCCCTCGTGGGGGCCAGACCGCCTCCCTCGGACCGAGTGCGTTTCAACGCCGTGGTGGGTGCCTCTGAAATCCCACTTTGTATCCCGTTGCCCAGGGCTCGAAAACAGATTACACGCGCAGTTCATAATCGGCCCAGACAATGTTGCGATGCCCGCGCTGCGCGCGTCCGCTCACTCATCGATGACAGGCTGCTGCTCTCGCGACAGCGACGAAATTGGGCGCGGAAATTCGCGGGGGCGGCGCCCGTGATGGAATCGACAGGGGCCGTCCTATGCTTGTGTCAACGCGCGGCGGTGATCAATATGCGTCTTCAGATGCTGAGTCGAACCAGCGACGTGACGGCATGGGATGCGGACGAGGCCCGGCAGAAACGGCTAGAAGAAGGTGGCAGGCGTCGCCTTTGGGTGCAGGTGCTGTCGCAATCGCAGTGCGCCGTGAACTTCGAGCCGATTCGAGATCGCGTTCGACCGCAAAAGGTCGCGAGTTTTTTTTTCTCGCAGCGAACATCCTAGGATGTATCGCTCGGACAGGGGCGCGATTCTTTCCACCGCCAGTGGCCCTGCGCTTGCCGCCGGGGCGGTTCGGATCCACCCTGGCGAGCCGCCGATGGAGTTCGGAATTTACCCCATCATGCTCGAGGATGCACCACCTTTGCTTTTCTTTAGGCGACTGGTTTGCGAACGTGGTTGCAGGTTCTACTCGGACAAGAACGTGGGGGCTTGTCTCATCGTGCCAGATGAACAAATGCGAACTCTCGTGGCGAGGGCAGCGTCCCAAATCTGACCTGCGTAGCCGTGTGGCTGCGGAGCCGACCTGCCAGTGAGCTTTGACCAGCGTGAAGCGTAAACTTGCTATTGGCACCCGAATGCGTTTTTGACCGCGATCCGCCCGGCCTGCTGGGTCTGGCGGGGCCTCGTCTTCTCGAGCTACCACTGAAGAGGTGGCCGACGCCGCGCCCCCGCGAGCGGTATGGCAACGTCCGAACCGTCGCTGTTGATCAGTATGCCGCGCTGGCCTGCCCGGCTGCCCTCGCTGCGGACGCATCCGCCTTTCACTCGCTCCTCTGGCCCATCGTTCGGAGGATCTCGCCGCGGGGGAACCTGGCGCTTCTGATCGCGAGGGCGAAGACGCGACGGGGGAGACTCACGCTCCAGGACCAACGAAGGACAGTGCGACGGGGGGTCCCGGCGCTGACGGAGAATCGGATGGCGCGTTGGAGGCGCCCGACGCTAGCGAGCAGGACAGTCGCTATGAGGAATCGAATGACGCCGACGCGGGGGCGGGCGGTCATCGTCGACGGCATGCCGCTAGATTTGCTAGGCGAAACGGGCGGAAGGAAGCGCGGGGCCCGTGACTCTGGGAGGAGACAATGGTAACTGGACGCGCACCCAGGGCCAACTCCGAATGTCGCCGCCCCCGGCCCTCGCACGCCGCAGCGTGGCCGCCAAAGTGGGGGGGGGCTTTGAAATTGTCGATTGGTCGGGCTTCTCTGAGGAACTTGATTGGGGTGGGGGCGTGCGTGACCTGTGGGGTTGCGAGCTCCTCCTTGTTGCGTGCGCGCGCCATCTCGCTTGGTTTCCGTTGGGGCGGCGGCGCCCCGATGGCCCGGCCCTTTTGAGGTTTGGATGGCGATTCGATGCAG